TATACAATCCGCAAAGCTATCACTCAAACCATGAAGAAGAACCCTCTTGAGGAGCCTTTCAAAACCATCACTTTACCCTACATTGCTGGGATCACAAAAAAGATCTCCAAAATCTTGAATAAACACAAGATCCAGGTCCGTTTCAACACATTACATAAAATCCGTGATCTGGTTCCGTCTGTAAAAGATGTGATTCCGGACATACAATACCCTGGTGTCTACAAACTAAGTTGCCTCTGTGGTAGTAGTTACATTGGAGAAACCAAATGCCATGTCTCGGACCGCATTCGTGAACACAAAGCAGACCTTAAACACGGTAGGACCAACACCTCGGCCGTAGCAGATCATTGTTCTAATTCAGTAGGCTCACATGCCATTGACTTTTCCAAGACAGAGGTTCTTTGTAAGCCATCTGGCTTCCATGAGAGATTCGTTCATGAGGCTATCCACATATACAAGCACAGAGACAATTTCAACCGAGAAGGTGGATTCTATCTTAGCAATCATTGGAAAGATTTGATAAACCATTTCAGTTCTTAATTGATTGTTCACGCTTACATTGGCTTTCAGACAGCATACATTTTAAAATTTCGTCTCCCCCCTCCTCTTTTCAAAATATAGATGGACTAGTCCTGGGTAAACTGCCAAATCGCTGCGCGTGACGCTAACGTCCTTTTTTTTTTTTAATAAATAAATAATTAGATGCGCCGTTTTAAAATACATTTATGCAAACCGACACACCTGAAGATGACCGTTTGAGTTATGGTCGAAACGTCGTGAGAATTTTTTATTGTTTTATATATATTTTATTATTCGCTCCTGTCATCAGTGCGCCCAGCGGAAGCCGCCGCGCCTGAAGTGCCATCTGCCGCTGCAATCTATTTCCGTTACGCGCATCAATGAGTTGGTGGCTCTCGATGTCCTGGGGCCCTTCCCGATCAATCCCAAAAATAACAAATACCTTTTGGTGGGTGTGGAATATTTTTCCTGGTGGCCGATGGCTTGGCCCTTACCTGACCAATCTGCATCCTCCATCACTGATGCATTGTTGAATGGCTATTTCATGAACAAAGGCACCCCGGAGCAATTGCTCAATTGAAATCGCCTGTTGGGGGCACTAAATTTACCCTGCCTGACCATGTGCGGGACTCCCTGCGCCGGATTTCTGAAGCGCGGGAGGTGGCTCGGATTAACACCACTAAAACGCAGGCACGCAATGAGCGCTGTGCGCGCAGGTCCGGCCACGACTTGTCATGGTCTGTCGGCGACCGGGCCTGGCTGCATTGCCCTCAGGACCCGTTCTAAAACGCCTGTTGGCACCTCTCCCAAACTGCACAAGCTATGGCATGGGCCGGTTGAAGTGGTTGAGGTTAAACGCCCACAGTGTGTACATATTCGGGCAGGTCGGCGTCGTTGGTTCGTCCACCCGTCACAGTTGAAACCCTTCGTTCCGCCACGGGTTGCTTTGTCATCTCCACATATTGGGTTGCCGGGGTCTGGCATATCCGATGAGCCGGAGGGGGTGTGCGGTTGCACGTTGATCCTCCGAAGATTTCTGTTTTGCCGTCCACAGCATCCCAACCCGACTGCTGTCGCGAACGATGGCCTTGCCGGGTCCAGCCGTTACATTGGACTCCTCTGCCGACCGCTACACTTCCAGCCGCGCCGATCGACACGAAGCGGGATACGACTACTGCAGAGGGTCCAGCGTCGCAGACCCGTTCTAAAACGCCTCGATTTTGCCGATCATCCCATTTGTCTTCGCTTTGTTATTCGCCTTTTAATGCCGGCTCATACAGTTCATGTTGCTGTGTTTTTACAGATCCTTGTCGTTGCCGCGGGGTCTTTTATTGCGTCTCTCCATTACGCGTCCAAATTCATTCTTAGCCGGGACGGCTAGGTTTTTTCATCACGGGGGTGGGGGGAACCATCTAGAGCAGGGGTGGGGAACCTTTTTTCTGCCAAGGGCCATTTGGATATGTTACATCATTCGCGGGCCATACAAAATTATTAACTTAAAAATGTTCCTGTTATATTTGGTCAAACATTTAATTAACTCGCCACTAATGTGATGGCTGGAACTGCTTCTCTTTGGCGAGGCGTGTGATGTTAGCTGGTATTGATGATGTTGCTACTCGCAACTGCTTTTCCAGGTTTGCTCCTAGATTTATTTAATTTCGAGTGCCACCTGCGGTTGCCTTGGCAGGGCTCGACCAAATGATTTCGCGGGCCTTATACAGCCCGCGGGCCAGACGTTCCCCACCCCTGATCTAGAGGGTTCCACGAGGGGGCGTGGCCGTAGGCAGCGCATAGCTCCGCCGGGGGCATAAAAGCGGAGGCAGGAGAGGACTCTGGGTCGGTGTGGGAAGCCTCGGGTCCAGACTGCATTGCCGCTCTATCTCTCCTCGCCAACGACCACGTGGCGAACCTCCAGCGAAGTCGTCTCTCCTCCGGGCACGCCGCCAGCCAGCGGCGTGGACGGAAAGAGAGAAAGAGGGCGACGTACCGCAGCAGCGGACAAGGGAGCGAGAGATCTACCCAGAGAGAGCGTGGAGCTGTGCGGACACTTAAATAAAAGACACCAGTCCAGAGTCGTCGTGGAAGTCGTTTATTACAATTGTAATGTCTCAGATGTTGAATTAAGTCGCACGTTTTAAGAGACATTTCATCTCAAGTCCCGCCATGTGCCCAGCTAAGTTGCCACATTTTAGTGGGTTTAGCCTCTAAAACATACCAATTGTACGATGGGTTAGTTTATATTTTTAATGCAAAGTTTATTTAGTAATGCTACATTTTTGACAATTGAAGGGTTCGTTACACAATACTAATAGGTAACTATTCTTAGGATGAAAACTGTTCACAAAGGAAACATTTTAAACATCTTTGCAGGTCCCATGGTTGAAAAGCCTCCGACTATTATCCACTCTGGCCTATTTATATTCAATGTAGACACGGCATTGCCCGTACCGTCGCTAATTTTAACATTCATTTTATAAAGCAGTGTTTTTGACACCGAGTTTATTTTACTATCGGTAGAATGAATATATTTAGTGAACTAATTTTACACGATGTAATGATGTATCCACTGCTGGATTATAGACTCCACACCGTATATATCGTGGAGGATATTTCATCACGCCTGCAGCGAAGGCGGGGGAGCATTGGTGTTGCAGCATAGAAGTTCAGTACAACAACGTATTTTGCTGCACTACCATTGACTGCCCACCGCATAGCTCTGAAGCCTGTGTAATGAGTACACCGACGGTCGCCGACCGGCTGGATAGACTCCGCTGCATCAGCCTTTAGCCAATCAGGATTGAGTGGGATCATCTGTGCCAAAGTTCAAAGGCGGAGCTCAGGGGTGCTCGCGGGGAACCATCGGGAAGGTTCTAGAAGGGGCGTGGCTAGAGGCGGGGCTGGGCTCCGCATCAGGGGGTTGTAAGGGGAAGGAGTTAGGGGCTCGAGGTCAGTGTGGAAAGTCTTGAAGCGGGACCACGTCTCGCGTCTCCGGAACTCCAGCGGCCACGTGGCAGTCCGGGGTTGTCTCCTTGCGCACCGTCGGCCAGCGGTGCGCAGGAGCGGGAAGCGTGAGCGAGCCGTGCGCGGGACAACACCAACTTACGCCGCGCAACGAAGAACGTGCAGTAATTTAAAGGGGAATGGAACGTGCTGTCCAGCCATTAAAGAAATAAATAAAGACAAGTCAGACGTCGTCGCTGTGATTTATTACACCTGTATCACCTTTAATGAATAGGACGAGACTTTTTTTTTACAAATGTGGAGCGTAAGAGTGGTCACGTACGTATTACGAACGTGTCACCTTTGCAACAAGACATCCTAAACGAGGGGGCTACGTCTGGCTCAGCCTGTCATTAACCAGGAACCCTTATTAGTCTAAAGCAGTTTTATTCTAGCTCTCCATCTGCAATGTTATTTTCAACCCATTTGTCTAATCTTTGAGTACTTTTCAATGAAGCGAAGAATCCTAATGTAACCTTAATCTGGCTCTGTTGAACTTCTTTCGTACCGTATATATTCAACTGTTAATCGGATATGCGGGGGAAGGACAACCAACAAAACACAAAAAGCAGTTCAAGAAATGAGTTTTCAATGTAGATGTAAAAGCTCCAGTGGCTTCCGAATATCAGAAGCGTTCCAGACTGAGAACTCGGGCGTTAACACCGAACCATACATTACACAGGATAACAGAAAAATGAGGGAAAAAATGGAGGGGTGTGGATAAGATAACGTTAAGAACGAGGTGGAAGAGACCGATAGGTGAAAGGAAGAGTGAGGGATGGAGAATGGAAAGACGTAGGAGGTAAAGAAAATAGAAAACCGAAAATACAAAAAGTCGAAAAATGCATGCACTAATTATACGGAGACAAGTGGAACGCACGGATCAAAAGAAAAACATCAAATTAGGGTTATATCAACAACCAAAAATAATGGGCTTGGCCAGGATAGCATGTGGACGAGAGTCATGGTATGGCAGACAAACGAGGGAACGTGCACGAGCGGATGTCCAAAGCTGAAGCAATGAGATTTACTCATCCAACGGTGAAACCGTGAGGGACGGTGATGTGGGAGACCTTCATCCAGCAGTGGATTGATCTTGGCTTTTGAAACTGAATTTGAACTTTTTCCTACGTGAAAATAAGCAAGTACTATGATGGACACCATTGCCATGAACGGCACGTGTAAATGGCAGGCTTATTTGAGGCAAATCACACCAATGTACAATTTGCACTGAGCAATGTGGTTTACGGTCACGTTAACGTGACACTGTCGAGTGCCTCTATGCTCAACGTATGTTGACGGTTAATTTTGCTCACTCGTCACAGCTCTTGTTCTGAGATGTGCTTGATGAAGAATTTCACTAGAGTTGTGAACGTGGGTGGAAATTACACCAAGCTGGACACGTGTCGATAATGCCACTGGGAAATGGCAGCAGACATCACACCGTACTTGCGAGCAATCCATGTATTGGTACACCGACGTCCTTACAAACACCGTTTATTGCTTCAACAGTATCAAGCCGCTATACCACACAAGTCTGACATGGAAAGCTGTTAAAATACATACGATATAAACAAAAGTTAAAGAACCAGGGACAGGACTATATCGAGCAACAGCTGGGGTCAGACACCAGACGGGGTTGGGTTTCAACCCGACATACATTATACTTATTCTGCTGTTACCTTATGGCCTACCAAGTGTTTGTGTGTGTGCATTACATAAATACGCACGTGTCTGTACTAAATATGTAGACACACACACACTGTATATACATATACACACAATCACATATACATTACAACTATGTGTACTGTGTGTACGATACCTCGGGATTTAGGTTTGCATGTAAATAGTATTTGCGGTGAAGTTGCACAGCTGTGTACACAAGGCAGAGCGGGAGCGTTTGGGTTGTAGGCCACAGACACCACACAGAAGCTCTAAGCACCACGCACCGTTACACTACATACTTCCAAGGGTCACCGCTGTGTCAGTGCCTGTCACGACAATAAATTCCGTAAAAATTTACAAAAAAATCAACCCAATGGCGCCATTCTCAAAGCGCTAACAAGCCGAACGATAATTAATCATTTTTTTTCTTATAATTCTTATTTTTTATTATGATAGTATATGACACTTAAAGCTTAAACACATATGTATAAATATATGTACACACAAAAAACTGTAAGTTTAATATATACACATAAGGATGTTTTATATATCTAGTAAAACCGTTTGTGATTGGTCAAAATCTATTTTACAGTAAAACCATGGTCTCATTGAAATATGAAAATTAACAAAAAAATAAATAGGAACTTACATGCAATTTATTAATTGTATATTCATTATATTGCATTAAGCGTTAAAAACTGAAGAGAAAATTTACAAAAGGGATTTGGGCTGTAAGACTCTGATGGCGCTTCCTACGTCGCCAAGGTTCATCTCAAATGGCACAGAACCCAGTCGCCTTACAGCTGCTAAAATGTAAACATTTTCATGCCCATCTACAGTAATTTGTGATTTAATGATCTTATAAGAAGTATTAAACTATTAAGCCTCATTTTTCCATTACATCCCAATATTTTAGAGTCGATGCCGCCTTCCTAACCAATCATAAACGGTTTTACTGTAAAAAGGTTAAGTGCTGACCAATAAGATACGTTTTTACTGGCGGTAAGTACAAAGCAAAGTGCCTATAGTGTTTTATGCAAATTAAGCAATTAAGGCAGTAATTGTTGCTTTAATTTGCACGATAATTAACACATCACGCCACAAACACACAGCAATCTTTCAGCCAATCAACGAGGAAAATAGCCAGCTCATTAGCATACAATGCAAAGCATTGTGGGGCAACGTACGTAAAAATGACCGTTAAAAAAATGCAAAAAGGTTTACATAATTGACAATGCGTTACGCTACCGCATGGCTAGCATCATCACGTCATGACCACACAGACCACTTACATCAGTAATACAAAAGCACAGACTCATTATCGTGAGCTCGCACTGTCACGCGAACTGCGTCGCCAGCAGCACATAGCTGGGCGGGCAGCTGCTGGCCCGAGGGAGAGCCATAGGGCCCATGGCACCGTGGGGCTCCTTGGTGTGTCCACCACGCCACGCCGCCCCTGGGGTGGACAAGGTAGACGGGCTCACAGGGCCGGCAAAGGGAAGGCGGCATCAAAGTACTGCACTCCCTCATGGACCGCCCGTCCCTTCCCCGATTACAGCTACACCTCTACTCCCCACCCATTCCAAACTGTAAAAACTCCATCACACACAACATTCCAGCCCTGCCATCGCGCCACCCGTGAGCTGACATGCCACCACCACCACGGATGTGAGATTTCTCATTCCTGCGCTCCGCACTATATCGATACGATATCAAGCGATGTACCACAATATCGATGCGATATCAATAATTTCACTGTACGTTAAACAAAGCATTCACCCCAGCAACAAAATCTGCTAAGACTGAGGTCTATCGCTGGCATGTTTTAATTAAAAAAAACTTAAATCATTCACAATAATTTTAAAAATCTAAGGGGGAAAAAAAAACTACAAAAGCCTCAAAGCAGATGTTACCAGGGGGTTAAAAGTTCACATTACGCTTTTAAGCATTATATTTTTGGGTATGTACATGATCAAATTGACAATCCGAATTTGGCCAAATGGGTAAAAAAATATCGATTCCAATAATGTGGAAATAATTCAATTGATAGTACATCAATATCAAGTCTTGTATCAAAACGGTATGAAACGTTCGATAGTCACACATGCCGTGAGGCCGCGCGGCCCTTGTAGCACCGTGCGGGGTACAACGATGCCCCCAGCTCGCTCCCAACCCACGCCAAAGCCACACATCTTTTCAACCCTCTAAATATATATTTTTTTGACCATTTAAAATATGTATTTGCACAAGTTTTCTGCTCCCAAGAAGAAGCATGGCAGTTTGTTTTGAAAAATAATGTTGAGCCCCAAGCTCGTTTTCCAAAAAACAAAAAAAATAAATTGACGAGTGTGGCAGCAGCACCTGGAAGGAGCGGAGGGACAAGCTTTGTGCATCATCTACAAAAAACAGGGCCCACTTTGAACTGTATCCTTGATTTTCTCTTCAAACCAATCTACTACACTTTGTGCACATTTAACCTCGCGTCTATAAAACATTTAAAATGATTGTCTGTGGACAAAAACCCTCCAGAACGCAATTATGGGTTTGTCTGGTGGCGGTGGCAGCGGAGGAGGTGGCTAAGTGCCGAAACTGTGGTGTCGACGTGCCGCTCACATTGCCCCACCTCTCGTTGCCCAACGCTTTATTTTTATGCATCCACATATATATTCAACTATGTTCATATATAGAAATTAATAGATTTTATATTACTATAACATATTTCGTTTATATTACTGTATCTTTCTTATTGGCACGCTCAGGGGACGTAATTTTGAACTTTATTACAGACATCCCTTTGGACCAGGTGTTTGTAATACTTGTTTTTTAAGATACGTTTATAAACGTATCTTTAAAGAATAAAAACATTTTCATTTCCACAGTTTCCCATATTTAATGTGCAAAAAGAACCCATCCCAAATGTGTTTCTTTTCCCACCACCTTAATGTCATTGTGCCCCAGTGTGTAAAACTTACTTCCATATTTAAGACATTTCTGTTTTTTTTTTTAGTTGGTACATTTACCATGTGCCAACTGCATGAAGGTAGGATGTTCAACTAAAATTCCTATCCACCTTCTCAGAAAAGTGTTTTGTAGAGTTTACAGTTTTCAAGTTTGCTTGTGTGGGGCGGCGCTCATCCACTCAGGCCATCCCGCTCGCCACGCAGGCCTCACACAATGGAATCCCAGTCAAAGTCGTTCTCTATCTCCTCTTGGCTGATGCGTCGCTGTGGCAGTGGTAGGTGGTACAAGGGCGGGGGTTGGCCTACATGGCAGACACACACACAAACAGTACTGTATAAACGTTACGTAACGTGTGTGCTTATAAACAGCACACAACACCGTACATACAATTGTATGCATACATTATCAACCAATTATGTTTCTTTCCAACATAAGAGCATCCTCATTCACTGTAAAAGTGAACTAAACATCTAAACGCTTTTGGTTGTGTACATAATCAGTTTGCATGCGGAAACAGGTTCCATTGGTACTGTACGAAAGAGCTCAAAATTATATAGGGCATAAAATAATTTCACAATCACGTTTATATAGCATACACATGTACATGTGCATTTGTAATGACATTATTAGACTACTTTGACGACTGTATATTTGTTGCCATGTACAATCCACCACTGTTAAATTGTTACACGTTAAAGTATAGCAGTGCAAGCCAGCAGACTTGAATGGCCATATTTCCTGGTCAACTCCAAGAGTTCCACTTCATTAAAATTACTTTCATTTTTTATAATGCGTAAAAGAGGGTAATTTGCAAGAAATGACTGCAGGCGTTCACAATTATGAATACTAAATAAAGATTATTATACAGGCTTTCTGAATAGAGAACGTGGAGGTGTCTTAAAAAGGAATTGTATACGGGAATTCTTGGCCGTCTGCGGATTGCCAACTGCGATTTCAAGTATACATGGTTCATTATTTATATACCAATTTACCAACCAAAGCCTGGTGTTAAGGAAGCCATATGGCATATGTATTACATCATTGCATTACAGCATGATATCATTGAATTGTGACGTCATTTTAAAAAATGTATTGGGGCCATGGTTTTCCTCTACACTACAGCGCCACCCGTGATGGTGCGTAGCCGATCAGCTGCCCCGTCTGTTTTGTTGTACATACTGAACTGTCATTTTCGGAGCGCATAGATCGCGACGCATCGCAACCACATTCACGTAAATTTTTCCCTGAAGCATGGACCCCAAGCATGCAGCGAATGGTCAAGGTGAGTGTGTTGTTTCTGTGGCCTAGGGGAAGAGGGTGGGGGCTAGATCCCTCCTTCTAACCACCTCTTCTTCCCCCATCATCTTATTGTCATCACCATCGTTAACATGAAAGGTATGTCATGTTTATTTATACCATGAGACCTCCTTTGCCAGTATCAAAATATGAGAATAGGTTTTCCCCTTACTTTCTGGCAACAAAACAGGTGTTAAGATGTTAAAACACCAAACTGAAACCTTTTACAAGGAATCATGTCTGCATTAACCACAATGCTTGTGGTCAGAATGCAAACAAAAAACTCGATAATATATGCATTGTCCTTGAAACTGATTGGTCCACACCAGAGACAAATTTCTTCAGAGCCTAGTCTCAAACAGTGTTAGACCAGAGGACGCCAAAAGGCGAACAGCACAAAGACAATGCACTATCAGGACAATGAGAGCTGCTCATCCCGATAATTGCAAGATAGCAGGTGGACAAGATAACAGTTTCGGTGGTGGTGGACAAGAAAACAGTTTCAATTTGTGTTTTCTTGTCCACCTCCACCGTCAGCAGTGTGGGTGTGTGGAGCGAGGTGCAATGCTTTGATTGGTGTAGACCTACTGCCGGTGTCAGAGCCCTCTCCTACATTAACATTAGCTGCCCCGCCCATCTCTATACCTTTATAAACAGCTCTTTGATTGGTGTAGACCTACCACATTAACATTAGCTGGCCCGCCAATCTCTAAACCTTTATAAACAGCTCTTTGATTGGTGTAGACCTACTGTCGGTGTCGGAGCCCTCTCCTACATTAACATTAGCTGGCCCGCCAATCTCTAAACCTTTATAAACAGCTTGCCCTCAGAGGCCAACCTCCCTGTTCCTGATGACGACCGCTTGTGTTGCGATATTTTTTATTCACTTTATTTTCATTATTATTTTATTAATGTTATTATTTTATTGTTATTTTTTCTATCTACATGACTTTACCGAAAGAACCATAGAATATGAATTCCTGCAGTCACGAAAGTTAAGTCAAAACATAAATACAACCACCTCACAAACATTTTGATACTCACAATGCATGGGGAATAAGGCAACCGTGTAACAATCGTGGCTCCGTTTATAATTTACGCTTCCAACTAAAGCAGTAGCTTTAATTGTGCGGAGCTCGCTGGCCAAATGATTACAAGTGTGTGGTGCAAGGCACTGGGCACCTGGGTGAGCGTTTGCGTTGCTCGGCGCAGTGAGGTGTGGATAGCCCGAGGCCCCCACCATGTTTCCAGGTGTTCCATACATTGCACCTGAGAGGGTGAAAGGCGCAACATATTCAGTACATCAAAGTAAAAAAAAAGGGGAAAAAGCTAGAATTAAAATTAAAGTGTGTGCATTGAAAAACTAAAGTACAAAATACATTTTGGGACCTCCTTTGTCATTACCAAAATATGCGAATAGGTTTTCCCCCTTTTTTCTGGCAACAAAACAGATGTTCAGATGTTAAAACACCAAACTGAAACCTTTGACAAGGAATCATGTCTGCATTAACCACAATGCTTGTGGTCAGAATGCAAACAAACCAAAAAACTCTCTGATAATATATGTAGAGTATATATTGTTTTGCATTCTGACCACAAGTATTGTGGTTAATGCAGACATGATTCCTTGTAAAAGGTTTTAAAAGGTTTCAGTTTGGTGTTTTAACATCTGAACACCTGTTCTGTTGCCATAAAAAAGGGGAAAACCTATTCTCATATTTTGGTACTGGCAAAGGAGGTCCCATGATGTAGCTGCTCACCCCGAGCTCTCATTACTCTGATAGTGCATTGTCTTTGTGCTGTACGCCTTTTGGCGTCTTCTGGACTAACACCGTTTTGAGACGAGGCTCAAAAGAAAGCTGTCTCTGGTGTGTACCAATCATATATTAGAGTATTTTTTTTTTAGAATTCTGACCACAAGTGTTGTGGTTAATGCAGACATGATTCCTTGTAAAAGGTTTCAGTTTGGTGTTTTAACATCCGAACACCTGTTTTGTTGCCAGAAAAAAGGGGAAAACCTATTCTCACAAAATAAGTTATTTTGACTCCAGAATGAATCAAATTTTATGTGCTGAATAAAAGTGAGTGGCATCCTTTCTATATATTTTAACTTTTATTTTTGCAAGCCACCCACTTTTATTCAACACATCAAATGCGATTATTTAGTGCAAATAAAAGTGTGCATTGAAAAACTTGTTATACCAAATTTTTGTATGACCCTGTAGAGATAATGATGGCTTGCCTATGTCAACCCTTGTCGATACAATAAATGGAAAGCATGCGCATTGCTACACAACAGGCGATGTAATGAAAGGTTGATAACACGCATCACCGTTATTACAATTTGAATAACGATCATGCCAATTGCAAAGTCGTGAAATTACATTTAGAACAACACGATGCACAACGCGTTTGTCGTATTTGCGATCCTTAAGTACTGTACTGTATGAAAGAAGACAGACTGCAATACTTTAACAATGCGCGCATATGGACAACAGTGCAATTCGCGAAGACCGTATTCAAAGTGCACAGATTTAGCACTAATTTAAAGCGTTTATATCAATCATAATTAGAAGATTGACAACCAAAATGAGGATAACATTACGGCATTTAATTGTAAAACATGATCACGGTTCTCACCTGCTCGCTCAACTTGAGCATAACCATGTTGCCCTCAGCCCATCGTAACGGGCGTGGCAAAGCGAATGATACAACTATTAGGATTATAACTATATAAATATTTTAGCAATAGTAGTAATTATTATAATTGTTGGTCTCGTGCTAAGAGGAAACCACAGAGGCCGCTACGGCACCATGACGAGCGGCGATGTAGGCGCTCTCCTTTCATTGGTCAGAGGCTCCCCAACAGCCACTGATTGGACGAGACGTTTGCGCTCGTAGCTCGACGCGACCATTCGAGGTTCAAAAAGAGGGGAGGGGTAAAATTTACGAGGATTCATCATTAAATTAAGTAAAAAAACACGAATAGATCAGGATTGGCGGGAGATGTAGCGGTTTTTATTGATTTATAAAAACTAGAATTTTCACGGCGAGACGGGTCTGTGTATAAAATGTTAGCTCGTTAGGATTCGTATATCCGGAGATATTAATTGGATCTACGAAGCCTAACAAGTTCAATAAAAGTGTGTAACAAACCAAACACTTCACCCTGAAAATATGGGAGAGGAAACATTAAATGATGATGACGGTGTTCAGGTCATGTTTCAGCGAACTGCCTTGTAAGGATTTTGCAACTGCAATTTAGACTTTTGACCTATCACTTACTGCTACCATAAGTGTGGTCTTGGATTTACAACCAATCTCTATACAATAATGCACTTGTCTGTCTGTAAATTGGGGGGGACCAATTTAGCCAAGTGTGGAGGGGGGTTAGCCACACTGCCGAGGTGGAGCGGAGGAGTCGATTGGCCTGAGGTGTAAGTGGAGGGGCTGTTGACATCAAGAGACACTGGGCTGTTGGAGGAGTACCGACGTCATACAAGATTGGGGTGATGTTGTGACAGAGGAGGGGGGGTGATGACGTCACGGGAGAGAAGGCAGTGAGGAGAGGGCGATGACGTTAGACAACACAGACAAGTTGGCGCAGAGGGGCGATTACGTTACTAGATTGAGGTCCGTTGATGAGGGAGGTTGACGTGAAGCTGGGGTGGTGAGGAAAGTGGTTGATGACGTCACGGGTGAGGTGGACGACAGGGAGTGATGACACAAAGTACATATTTGACATCCTTTTCCCCGCCGACGTTCCGGGGACTCCTGCTAGTAAGAGAATGCTCATTTTCTTTGTTACATGCAGATGCTGTTGTTCAAATTCCCCATCTGTAGCAAACGAATTGCTGAGTGCAACCGATGCTGTTTGTTTGTGGGCATCTTTAAAAAGGGCTGGGTACACAACCCAACCAAAATAATGCGAAGAGCCACTCAGCCCTGGTCAGGGTGCTCGTGAGCTGAACTCTTTTCTGAACAGAAAAAGAGTCTGGAATGGCTGTTATATATGGGGCAAAGGCTCTATGAAATGTTGTATTAAAAATAAGTTGTGATATGAAGAATGATCATTGCTCAAAACGTCACCTATTACAAAATGTTGCGAATGCCGAGTTTAGCTATTATGGCAGACTGTCAAAGGTAAGCAATTAATATATTCGTTTCAGCAATATTCCTCCGTACAAAAGCAGCGCAAGTACTATCAACCAGGTATATAATTCACATAATCGTCATATCGCTTCTCAGCGGTTGCCACAATCCTGTGCCAATGTGCTCCATTCCATACCAATGTCCCATGATGTAATCAGTCGCCTCCACCTTCTCTTTGTTAATCAACTGCAAAGGCATCCTGTTTCTTGGCGGTTAGTCTTTGAAGTAATCCGTTGATATTTTTCAGAGAGTCAAACGAATGACAGAAATACATTACACTGTTGCATAAAATAAGGACAAGAAAGAAAGCGGCATTACGTGAAGGGGCACTTGGCAGCTGGTCTCGGCCAACTGGCTGGAAGAGCCCAGTCTGGGAGAAGAAGTGTCCCAGGGAGGAGCACAGGTCGGCCAGTTGGCTTGTGTCCAGGCACCAGTTGTTCATGTCTGCCCGCCGCATGCTCTCCAGCAACTCTGCGGGTGGTTGGACACATGAGCACGGCCCATCCAAGCAGAGATGTCCGAGCTAAAAACAAGTTGGCTCGAGAGAACGCAATGGTGGAAAGATAAAGTGACTGCCGATTTGGACGGCCTGTTGTACCTTGGACACGAACAAGATATTAGACGCTGATAGAACGGGTACTGCTCACGCGTTCATCAAAATAGTCATGCTGCTATATGTCAGGTCACAAATACTAATTATTTTAAAACATACTATCCCGCACGAAGTTTAGTAAGCAGTACTGGACGTTAAAATGCCTCTTCAGTTACATACCATCTGTAGTCCTTAAGAAGGGAATATAAAAGCATCCTTGAAGACAAGAGGCACAAACATCCTTGTTTTTAATATGAGCACGCCACGTGTTACCATAACCTTTACATGCATACATGCGGTGGGATGCATTAGTACAACTTCAAAAAGGCTGCCTTAACCCCTCTATACTTACTAGCCCATCATTCATGCCGAGCCAGTGAGAAATAATACTAATTACAGGGGGCGGGCCCCATAAAATCCTAAATAGTGCACGTTCACCGGTCTTTGTGATACCGACGCCTGTGGGTGGGTGTTGCGCTGCCCCAACACTTTAGGTACAAAGATAGCCCCGAAAGAAAAAAAGGGCATCTGTGTATGTACATTACCATTTAGATGTATAAAGCACGTAGAATAATTCGCATACGAAGATGCATAATTAGGGAGGATGGCAAATTGGAAGTGGTAGCCTAATTATAGTGGAGAAGATATAGCAGGATCACAGGTATGCGATAAGATTTTACAATCTAGATTTGAAGTTTTCGTGACTGCAGGGATCCATACTCTTTGGTTCTTTCTGTAAAAAGTAAAGTAGGTATAAAATAAAGTAAATTAAATCACGACGTTTCGGGCGCAGCACAAGCGTCCGTCGTTAGGTGGGACAACCACAGCAAGATACAATTGTTGAATTGTCGTTAGGTGGGACAACCACAGCAGGAAACAATTGCTGAAGTGTTGTTTCTTGCTGTGGTTTCCCACCTGATGACGGACGCTTGTGTTGCACCCGAAACGTCGCGATTTAATTTATTTTATACCTACGTGACTTTACCAAAAGAACCAAAGAGTAAAGATTTTACACATTTATAATAAGCTTCATTTTTAGTTAAGACAAAATATTTTTCACGTGCGATAAAACTGTGGACATATGTGAACAACAAAAACAATAAAACTAATAATACTTTGATTTTCAGCTTTCGTGACTGCAGGGATTCATATTCTTGGTTCTTTCGGTAAAATCACGTAGAAGGGAAACAATCAAATAATAAAAATATAAAACAATAAAATTATCACGACGTTTCAACTGCAACACAAGCAATCATCATCAGGTGTGAAAACCACAGCAAGATAAACCACAGCAAGATCATTTTCTTGCCGTGGTTTTCACACCTGATGATGATTGCTTGTGTTACAGTCGAAACGTCGTGAGAATTTTATTGTTTTATATTTTTATTATTTTATTGTTTCCCTTCTACGTGCCTTTATCATCCATAACAGGTTATTTTTTAGTTAGGTCGCATAAATATAAATGTGTCGTTAAGCCTGCCACCACCCGACATAGCCAATTAGTAAGGTTTGTCACGAAAAAACAGAACATTAGAGAATCTATCGAAATTGAGAGAAGTAAAAATAATTTTAACCGTTCGGATAGCTACAGGCTTAGTGCTGCTTGGAAGCAAATCATCAAATAATACATTGTTTAAATGCATGCCTATACAGGTCACCACCATAAGTCAATGGGGATTACCTGTAGGCAGACAGTAACAGGTACTGCTATTTATTGCAAGCAAACGACAGGAGGTACAAGAACAATGTGCATGCATAACGTATGTTGATTACCGTATGAATAACCCAACTGGAAATGGATACCCATTGTAATTCATATGCATTTATTAATCTCCCCCCTTATCACGTGAAGGGCTCACAAGTGACGTCAATAAATCTATCCCTCTATTTACGGAACAAAAACAAGAGGATTTCTCCACAAATCTTGCTGTGCGACAGATGATGCTAGTTGTAATCACTGGCGAAACGTCGTACTCAGATTGTAAATGTTGTGGATTTGCTCTCCAACACACCGGTGTGCTGTACGAGTAACGAATTGGCATGTTCAGTTTACGTGACAAACTAATTGGCTTGTGTCGGGTGGTGGCGGGTTTAACGACACATTTATATTTACACGATCTAACCCAGAAAAACCTATATTATGGATAATAACTCTGTTCACATTAAAACAAAAATATAAAAGCATATTAAGGTCTTGAGTTTATAAGGTGTCAGCAAGAGGATGACCATAGGGTGGGGGAGCTCCAGAGAACATGGGAAAATGAGTGACCTCACATTAAGTGGAAACCGACTGGTGCAACGGGCAGGGGGGACTAAGGGTTTGTGCCCTCCTACGAGCAAGCCATACCACTAACCTGATTAAGTCAGAGCTGCACTAATAAAAACGAAGCCACGTACATGAATGGTTTATGAACACGTATGCACACAACCTTGTGTGTAAGGTAAAGGGGTGGTGCTGCAGAGTTACTGCGTACAACTCACCTTGATACTGGGACATGTCCACTTCGGCCCAATTGAAACTGGATGCTCGTCGACAGCTCTCCTTCAGCAGGTCCAGGTTAGACCAGAGCCCGGGACTCGGTACTATCAACCAAAGAACAGCAACATTCACAGATCCGAGAACATCATAAACACACACAGCGTTCACGTCATAATTTACTGCATTTATGTTGCCTATGAAAATATAACCTGGAATATGCCCAATCTCATCAGATCTCAGAAGCTAAGCAGGGTTGAAGCTGGATATTATGATGGGCAACCATTACGCATAACACAGGTGTAGGCTGCTGCAGGGCTCTCCCACGATTGTAGGCTTATTATGCTTTTTATATTCTTAGTTCATTACGTTACATCTTTTTTTATGTATCATTGTTATTGTTGTTTAAATTGTGTCAGTTGCTTTTAATTTGTCTTCTAAAACACTTTGGATTGTATTTTATGCACAAATCGTGCTATATAAGTCAAGTTTGATTTGATTTGTTTGAGTGTTATATTAACAGAGGGGGGGTATAGAAAACTCTACAGTTGCATTGTAAACGCTCGCAACGTCTATGCTCCCTGCTCCCCGCCTTCATCCACTTGCACTGATCAGTGTCCAAGTATGGTCACTAATCCCCACAATGTGGCATGGAGAGACCCTCATCCAGCAGTGGAATGACAAAAAAAATGGTAAAGTGTACACACATATTCAAATGTATGATCTCCCATAGCATGTGCAGCCAGACAGCTACTCACGTGGGCCTCCGTTGCCAACACCCTGTGCGGCGTGACCCGCGTTGGTCCCATACGGGCAGCCGGTGGGTCCCTGGTGGGAGAGGCGTGGCGTGGGGTGCGTCACGGCCTGGTGGGTGGCGTGGCCCAAGTGCTCGGCCGATGGCGCGCTGCCTGCTCCATCGCCAACGCCGCCTTGTGCCGCTGGGTTTATCATCCCTGTGCGACACGCCCCGGAAGTGAGTGAAACAGCCACAGGAATTCAACCTTTATAAGTTGTGGTAACATATTGTAACACCTTGAACAGATTGCAATTTCTTGGGTTTTCAAGTTTACATAAATGTCTAGCCCAAAGGGTTCACACCAATCAGTGAGACACCTGACTGAAAAACCTTTGGAAAACCCGAAAAAAATGGAGGTAGGAACCCAAACAACAGAAAAACCTGAGACTTTGATGCACAAAAACATTTAACTATCACACAGGCAATGGCGAGTCTACTTTTCGGAGAAAAGCGAGGGGGTTCTGAGCTTGCACAGCAGCTATGTATGTTTAACTTCTTTCGCATCGTACGTAGCCAATCGTGCCAATCGGAGGTGCAATAATAGGCTAATGTACACCATACCCATATTAGTTGAAGTCACCTTACAAGTTCTTACAGTAATACCCTGGTTTATGCCGGCGTTGCGGTCTTGAAAGGTGCGACCAATTTCAAAACGACGTAAATCAAATCAATTTACGGGGTAGGTGGAGGCGAAAGATACGAGACGATGCTGTCAGCAACGTAAGTGTGCGTTGAGGCGACGCAAATCAGGTAGTGGTAAAAGGGGGAGACGTAAATCGGGGTATTACGGTATTCGTTTCCCACTATTTATTATAGAAGGGCTGTGAGCAAAGACGAGGTTTCTGTAACAGAGCCTACAAAAGACCCGAAGCACTGGCAGCTGCCGGTGCACTACATAAATAGGACTGAGTGAATTATTTTCTGGTAAAGAACAAAAAGACTTCACATTACACGGTAATGTAAGCCATCTAGCTGCCAAAAAAAAAGGTTCTTAGATGCAACCAAAAATCCTTACTTTCGCATCACAATTGCATTATAATTAACTAATGAATCTCCTGCACATAACAAAATTCAACAATGTATTATTTGAGCAATATCACTCGCTGTTACATTTAGACATGCCCCACAAGTAAATGAGTTTTGGATTTGTTGGCAACGTTTACACTCCTAAACTTTTTCCCACATTATTCCACCTCCTGTTTAAGCTCCATCTCTCCATCATCCATCTTTTAAATGACAATGCCAAGCACATACGCGTACATCTCGCACAACGCCCGGCTCGCGCTAAACACAGGTACGCGATGCCGGCAGGCTCCCCCCGTGCACGCACCCTGAAAAACATTGCGGTAGAGGCTACGGAAGGACTGGCTGAGATCGTCGGCGTTGCCCTGCATGTTAAAGTGCAGCTTGTCGTCGGGCCCGCCGTCACGCCCCACCGGCTCCGATGGCTCCCGGCTGCCATCGGCACCGCCAAGCTGCGAGTCGAAGGGCTCCGCCGGCGTCGGGGTGGTGTGCGTGGGCGTGCCGGGGTTGTGCGCGTGTCCCGGTGCGCTTGGCGCGTGCGTGCCAAATGCCTACTCACAGCCCCCACACACAAGCAAAGGGTGAGCAAACCACGCGCTTTGAGCACTTGTCCAGCCAAGGTGTCTATTACATGGGGTTCACGGCAACGCTCTCACATGTCATGGAGGAAAAAAAAAAGTATAAAAACCGAGCATGGAATGATTCATCGATTAAAATAGATATGTCCACGATGCAAGCGTCGGACCGTGCGTGAGATTTGATTACATCTCATCCATGCATGTTCTACGTGTTTGGTTTACGAGAGCTCTGCTGCCAATTAATTCCACGTAATAAAATGCCAAAAAATGATCAGTTCCTAAAATAAATCATGAAGCCGAATAATAACAATTCCTTGAGTCGTGGCACGATGAATCATTATATATAAATGGTTCACAGCAAGAATTACACAGGTATTCCTTCTGTTGCATCGTTAGCCGTAAAAGAACAGAGCAAAGAGCTGCATGAATATTAAAAACCACAGCACTCCTGGTGACCGTTAATTAGCAGAGTACTGCAGCTATGCACTCATGAGCACTCATGAGCACTTAGAACCCCGTCATCTCACAATCAATTCTCACAAGTGTTAAAACAAAACAAATCCAACAGTCAGACATCTGGAAAAAAAGCGGACAATGCGTGGACAGGGGATGTGACAACACAATGCAATACGTAAATGGCACATAGCAGGAGCCTGCATGCTATTTGCGTCACTCAGCACCACCACACTGGCATACCCAAACCCTCTGGCCATATTCACTCATAACGGCAACATATGGGGACAGCCAACCAAGCTTCAGACAGCTGCTTTTATGGTCAGATTTGCTCATCAAGAGCGCCTGTGAAATCACAGGGCGAGGTGTATAAAGCAGTTTCTAGGCACAATCTCACAGGATTTTGATTTATTTTCAAATTACAAAAGGTAACAGAAGAGGTGGTGATTCGGGCCAGCTTCCCCATTCAATGACAAAGCACATCATCGCATTCTGCGCAACTCGTATGCCGTCGCTTGCGCCTACGGCGCCGTTTCACGTGCCCGCGGCATACCGTGGTCGGGTACTGCCCGTAGGAGCCGCCAGGCTGCTCTCCGTAGCCCATTTTGGTGCCCGAGGATTGGTACATCTGTATTTAAAATATATATAAAAACATTTTTTTTTATTAAAGTTAAACCACAAGCTATTGGCACATCAGAAAATGTACATTGTAAAGAATGAAAATTACTAGACTGTGACGAACACTTAGCATGGAACAACAAAATACTGGGCTCGTCTTGTGCAGAGACAGGAGATGTGATAACAATATAAAATTTCCACCACTGGCTCAGGACAGACAGTGGTGATAAGCAACGCCACCTCGTTGCTCATGTGAGCACGGAGATACCTCAAGGCTTTCATTGCGGAGGAGCTCTGAGATAGGCAGCTCGTGAATCCGTTGGGGTTCTTGGTCAGCATGACCAAAATATTTAAAATAGTAGTTAAAAAGAAACTGAATATTCAGTGTGCTTTGAATGTGGAAATCTGAAGCCCATTGTAAAACTAAGGTGCAATGTGTAAGTTATTTGAAGAGTTCTCTCCATTGGCACATTTTGTAAGTACATTTCAAAATAACACCGACTTTATTACACTTGCTAATTCAGGTTTAATATTATTATTATAGGTTAACACCTTTGTAATCTATATTACAATGTAAGACGTGACTATCCATTTTCATTTTTCTTCTCTTCTAGCGAGGCTGAATATATACACTCTTAAATGCGCTTACACACAAAACACCAGACTGTGAAGCATGGTAACACCGCAAATAAGACAGTCTAAACCTCATCTTTTAGAAAATGGTTATCAGGCACTCTGAATGTGTAAATTGCAACAAATTACTAATTTTTAAAAAAGTTTTAGAAATATGAGGTGGCTTATCTGACAGTTTCAGGTGGTAAACACTCAGTCCGAAGAACATTAACACTCAACGTGAACCAACAAACATCAATTGTGCAGGAGGTTCCAAGAAGGGGCACAATAATATGCAGGAAACAGGGCTAGGCCTGGCAAGTGATACCGAGTTTCAACTTCAGATGTTGAACCAACATTTTTGAAGTGGATCTAAGCTTGTTAAGTAGGAATAAGCTCAAGAATTAAAATACTACGTATATATCGATATCTCACATACAACAGAGTAGACATCACTGGATTTTCACCAAATTCTGAAATGAAAATTGCCAGGAATTCACTTGAGTAACTTAATTCCCAAAACTATGGATTACTTGTTATTACAAGAGCATAAAGAGTTAAGAAATGTCAACTACAACCTTAGGTTAAATGGGTTCTTGGCAAACTGGATTCTGTGTTGCATCAAGGTTAAATATAAATCAATTTAATTGTGCATCAATTTCAAAGAACGCTTAATCATTCACTTTATTACACTGCCTAAACCTGACCTTGACACGCCATAAAATCCTCAATGGAAAAAAATATCTAAATGAAATATTAAACTATAATTGACGCATAAGCAAATGCCCTCCCACCCCCCAGGCTGTTAATGGTAACAAATCTACGATGCTGCAGAAAGGAGCCTAGTCAGATGTGGCTGGTTCTTACCCGTGTGCTGCCACCGGGCTGGGATGGCCCCAAGCCATAGGCTTGATTGCCGTGTCCACCAGCTTGCGCTCCACCAACTCCAAATTGGTTCTGCGGCGTGGCCTGCGAGTGCGGGATAGCGTAAGGCTGCACCGCGCTGGCGTGCGCCGTGTGCGTCCTGCCCATCCCGTAGCGGCCGCGTGCGCCTGGCATGTCGTACATGCCCCGCGCGGCCGTCTGCCCGTGCGAGTTGGGCATGCCGTAGGGCGCCGCCTCTGCCATCTTGTAAGGCTGCGCGCTCAGCGCGTCCGACTGCACGCTCGGGACGCTGTACGTGCCCTCGGCCGCCGCCTGTGTGTTCGGGATGCTGTAGCCGCTCTGGCTGCTGGTCGGCGAGTCGGCCACCGAAAACTGTCCCTGTGCTCCGCTCGCCGGCACGTACATCTTGGGCTTCTTGGTGCTGCGTGGTGGCGAATCCGGCAGCACGTACGGCGGCGTGCTCTGCGCATGCGCCTGCTGTGCACTGGCCATGCCGTAGTGGGGAGGGGTGCTCGACTGCGAGTCCTGCCCCTGGGGGCTCTTCTGAGTACCAGACACAGTAAACTGGTGCTGCTGCTGCTGCTGCTGTGAGTTGCCCTGGGCCTTGCCCACACTGAAGGGACTGGAGGATGCACTGGCCTGTGTGCTCTGCATGCTGTACGGCATCTGCGAGTTCGGCTGCGCGCTCGTGATGGTGAACTGGCTCTGTGTGCTGGTCTGCGTCTTGGCGATCTTGAACTGTCCATGCGTGCCGCCGCTGCTACTGCTGCTGCTGCCGCCGGCCGTTGTGTTGGGGCTGCTGTAGGGCATCTGCGCCTGGGGGCTAGGCATGGTGTAAAGCTGCGGGTTGGTCTGCGCACCGCCCGCCTGCTGCGCATCTGCCTCCTGGTTGGGGGATGTCAGCGGAACCTATGGGAGAGAGTAGAAGAGGGGCAACGTGGATTTCTGCTGCAAAGGAACTTTAAAGTATATCACGCAAGTACCACAATTGCAGCAGAAGCATTGTAATGCATTTATTGGCACACCTGGAGTGAAATTGCTATCTCTATGGCTTATTTCATGATGCAATGTGTATTTCACATCAGTGCAGTTGAATGCAATTGAAAGGGAAAAACTACGAGATGGATCTATGATAGCGGTTATAGCCTTCTGACTGTAGCCAAAAAGATATAATCCTTCACGAGGGGGAAATATATATTTTACTGCACTTCACCCTGAAGATTAAACTCACAGCCATGATCCAGTGTTGGGTAATAACTTCCAGACTCACTGTACATTTCCAGGTATCTGAGAGAGTAATGTAGCTGCAGATATGCTGCATTTTGCATACTGCAGCCAAACCACAATGATGTCAGAGCACTGCATTTGAAAGTTAAATCACTTCTTTTTTCTCACCAACAAAGCTCCAAACTTATCTTGAACAGCCTGGAACACACAATCTGTGTATATCTACAATATAAGAGCGAGTTGTTCTTTGAATAAAATTTGGCTGAAGTAAACACAAAAACAAGCAGGTACGTCTGAACACTTGTTATCGTAATAATATCGTGCACTCTTCTGAGTCCAGTGCATCACGTATGCACGCTGATCACAGGTAGCCAGTATGACCCTATAAGGGAAACCTTTAAGGGTGTGTGTGTGTGTACGTAGAACTTATTTCGCACCGTACATAGCCAAACATGTTAATTAGAGATGCGGGGGAAGGACAAACTAAACACAAAAAGCAGTTCGAGAAATTCGTTTTCAATTTAGATTTAAAAGTGCATAGCTCCAGTGGCTTCCTAACATCAGAAGGAAGAGGGGTTCCAGACGGCTGAAAAAGCGCATCTGAAAGCGCGCGATGCAGTGACCGTCTTTGTTCAATGGTTAGCCAAAAGCTGCTCGAAGGATGACCGGAGTTTGCGTGATGGTTTATGCTCCTTGATATCAGCAAGGTGTGTCCTCGCATCATACGGGTTTCTCTGGGAAAATCAACTCGGGTGTCAACAGAACGAAAACCTCTCCTGGCTGAAATGGTCTCCATTGACCTAATCATAGCTATAGTCGTGTGAGCACAGCGGTTTTACTTTTTACAGATCCAAGCCAGCATGCCCCTACATATCAAAATAGCAGAACCTTAGATGAAAATACCTTTATGTATGTTGAACTTCTGTCGCACCATAAGTAGCCAACCATGCTAAATCGGAGGCACTTTATATTACTGTAAAATGTACAAACATTTCACATCATTCAATGTAACGAAATCCGTTATGTGTAAGGCGCCCTTTAGTATGCTTAACTGGCGAGACGATGTGCGCGCATGCACGCACAGATCCTTTACCCTGTCATTTGACCGTGGCCGCTTTTTGGGTCTGGTCGATGAATTTTCATCCGAAGGATTCTGGTCGATCGCCCAGTAGGATCCCTGCGACACACACACACACAAAAAAGTGACTTGATACATTGTGTACATTCTCATATCCACAAGCGTTTTGGCTATGATGAATTAATCATGATCAACTGTTTAAACGAACAACAATTTCACACATTTCCTTCTCAGCATAACTCGAAAATCTGCTCGTCTTGTACATTCACAAGGCTATGCCCATTAAAATGACAAGTGTTGGGAAAGAGCCAAGAAATATGGCTTAACTACAACCGAAGTATGACACCTATCGTACATTGCTTCGTTTGGGGCATGTGTTTATTACTGTAACAATGGCAGAAACAAGTTATATATCCAGTTTGGTCGTAACAACTTTTTGGGACAATGTTGTCTAATTGCACATGATAATAAAGCACATTGACAAGTAATGCCTAACAGAGCTCATCGCTGGCCAATACCAGATGACACCACACCTGACCACCACTTCCTTCCCTTCTGCTGAAACCCACAGTTGGCGAGTACTCAACACCTCCTCTGCAGCAGTTTTTTGCTTGCAATCAGTGGAGCGAGATGCAGAAGGAGACACACTTGAGTGCGTACCACCTGAACCAGTGTAGGTTTGCACTTCAGGAATTGTTATAAATCTTGTACCTATCGATTGCACTGTCTGAACTCATGTCACCCAAGTCATCCGTGCAAGTGACCAGGTACCGCAAGTGCCGAGAAGCAAGTTTACATGCCATGACTCTCCCTGGGAGGTGTCAATGCATCATTCTATGCTCACAGCTATGACAGTCATTACGAACACTGTGATTAGAAATGACTAAACTTTTACAGAGAACCACCATGTTGTATGGAGCACATCAAGGTCTGCTGATAATTCCTAGACCAGAAGTCCCGGCTGAGCGGTGTTTGTCTGTGGCTGCTCCTGTCATCTGCAACTCTTTCCAGCTTCACGTACAAAGCATTCAAACGCCCTCTTGCTTCAGGAGTCAGCTGAAGGCGCCACACACTTGGCACAAAAAAAAACCGTGAGCTTATGCTCCACACCTCCGAGTGCACGATATGTGCTATATAACGGGGGCCTCCGTGAGGGGCTCGGGGTGCTTCGTGTTGCTGGTGATGAAGATCCACGTCGGGTAAAAGAAGCCTCTAGCTACGCGGTCCGAGACCCAGCTCGTGGTCCGGGCCGGGATAGCGAACCGTGTCTAGTTCTGCCATAGCATGGCTAGATGGGCATTCAACACCCAAGTGTAGGTTGTGTTATGTTGAGTTACTGAAATAAAGTGTTACTCAGTTGGACTCACTACACAAGTCATCATACTTCAATGGAGATTACCTGTACGCAGACAGTAACAGGTACTGCTATTTTAATGCAAGCATAATGTACGTTACCATATGAATAACCCAACCGGAAATGGATACGCATTGTAATTTATATGCATCCATTAATCCCCCCCCCCCTCCTTCGCACGTGAAGGGCTCACTTAGTGATGTTACCACATCTATCCCTCTATTTAAGGAACGAAAACAGGATTTCTCCACAAATCTTGTGCGCCTCATGCTAGTTGTAATTACTAGCGAAACGTCGTACTCAGATTGTAAATGTTGTGGATTTGCTCTCTGACACAACAGTATGCTGTACTAGTTTAATGACAGAAGAGTCGACCTGCGGTGTGAGTGGACTAGTGGCCATGGGAGGTAATGACAGGGGTGTCAGTTGTGAGTACGAAGGGACTGGTGGCTATGGGAATAATTGAGAAGGGGAGCATGGCCAGGTGACGGAAGAGGACGGTAGAATCTGCTGGTGGAGCAAGTGTCTAGAGCCAGCGAGAAGGTTCGGGAAGGGGGGCGTGGCCTCTGACCGTATATAAGGGAGATGCGTGGGAGACTCGGGGCTGCTGCAGTGGGGGTCTCCGCCTGTGTCAAGTGAACGTGTCTTCAATAAAGTTCCATCTCAAGAGAAGTGTGTCAAGTCGTCGTTACACTAGTAACGAATATGTTCTGTTTACGTGACAAACCTTACCAATTGGCTGTGTTCGGTGGTAGAGGGTTTCACGACACATTTATATATTTACACGATCCAATCCAAAAAAACATCAATTATGGATGATATTGGTCGTGAAAGCCTAAGTGTTAAAGCAATACTGGAAATCTTAAACAGTTTGAGTGTTTTTTTTGTTTGTTGCGGTTGCACCCGATTCAAGAGCCGAATGGCTCACAGGGCTATACCAAATAAATGAACTATGAACTATACTATTACTCAAGCTCATGGAATTTGATCGGAAAAAAACTGCAATAAGCATAGTACTGTTTGAAGTCGTTATTTATACATTAGTATTGTTATCTATAAAAGGACTTTTTTTGTCTGTCTGTGCATCCGCCTTCCTTGTAAACGCATTTGACGGACAAAAGATTGGGTTTATATTTTAACAAAATACACAAATACAATACACTAAGCCTCCGGATGAATACTTAGTATTTATTATTGCCCTTAGTTCAATATAAACTAAGAAAATAAAACTTTGTACAATGTATAAAAGAAAATAAATCACGATGTTTCGATCGCAACACAAGCGGTCGGAACAAATATAATCCAGCAGTGGAACTGCTGAACCAGCGTGAGAGCAGTTACAAAGTTATATATGTGGCGATGGGCAAGCAAACCTTCAGAGATTTGTTCATGAAGCCATCCAGATACATAAACAGACAACTTCAACATAGAAGATGGGTACAAACTGAGCAATCATTGGAAGGACATTATTAACCAGGTAAAGTCTTAACTGACTGTGATGTTTCCATCTTACCTGCCTATTTCAGCTGTTATTTCCGACTCTCTCTCTCTATGCCTCTCTCTTAGATCTCTCGCATGTCCTTTGGATTGCACTCTCATGCTCACGTCCTTTGGATTGCACCTCTCATGCTGACATCCTTTGGATTGCACCTCTCATGCTCACGTCCTTTGGATTGCACCTCTCATGGCGCTAATCTCTCATTAATGCCCGCATATGCGCACAACCGCAGTGTTGTACTCTTATGCGGCGACGGAAGCTCACTTCATGCTAATCTCTCTGTCCCGAAGCTCCCCCATTAACACAACTGACGTACTTGCGTCCGGGGATGGAATTGCTTTCCAGCTCAGACCCCGCTTGCTTGCCCATCGCCACATATATAACCTTGTTGTAACAGCCCTGTCGCTGTTACAACAAGGTGGAGCGCAAAACAAACAGTGGAGGAGCAGCGGCAGTCTCAACAGCAAACAAAAAACGAATGCACCTCAGCAGCACAGGTTGAGGAAACTCCAGAGCAGCATGCATGGAGACAATCCAGAGAATGCACAGTTGCTGCTGCTACTGCAGCAGCAGCACAGGTTGAGGAAAATCCTGAACAGCGTGCATGGAGAGAAGCCAAAGACTGCACAGTTTCTGCTGCTGCAGCACACGCCGAAGAAAATCCTGAACAGCGTGCATCAAGACAAACCAGAAACTGCAGTTACTGCTGCAGCACAGGCGGAGGAAACGTCAGAGCAGCGTGCATGGAGACAACCTAGAGACTGTACATTTACTGCTGCAGCATGGGCTAAGGAAATGCTATTTTTTGCAGCCTGCGGACGCTATATATTTTAGCTCCTTCGGAGGGCTTCTCGGCACCTCGCCCATCACCCCCACCTGATGTCCCTGTCTCCCCTCCCCCCCACACTGCAGATACCACTGACCCTACTGTATGTAGCGTGTGTAGGTATATATGCTTACAAAATACACTTCTTTTTTTGGGGGAGGTGAATTTTTTGGGGGGGAGGTGGGGTTGACAATTTTTGTAAACCTTGTGTCAACTTTTTTACCCCGCATCTGAGCGGGGGGGGGGGGGGTCCACTTTCTATAAAAAAAAATTGGGGGGGGTGAAACATTTTGGGAGGGTTGACGATTTTTGGAAACCTATTGGTTCAACTTTTTGATTCAGGCCTTCTGAAAGGCTCCTGTAATTTAGTTGATGGATAAATGGACAAACAGAACACCGGGCTTTTATAACAGATGAGTATGTGTATGTTTTTTTAAGAGAAGACAAGTTTTTAAGTATATTTATATGTGTTTCCCCTTGGCAAAGCCAAGCTCTTCCTGCTAGTATTGTAAATCTAAAGCATACCACAAGCTTACTTTGGACACTGTGAAGCAAATCTTAAACAAAACATTCATATTTCCAACTATTTACCAAAGCTCCCACAGCACTGCACTCAGCTGAAGCAAGAGCTGCTGGTGCTGGATCGCGAGTGCACTTCGGGCAGTTCTGGATTTGTTTTTAACGGGGAGTGGTGGCAGTGGTTAGTGCACTGTGTTACAAACTCGGCAATCTGGGTTAGATTCCGGGCTGCGGCTAACACAATTAGCAAGTGCTATTTTGTCTGTTGCTGCTCCTCCTCTAGGTCAACTTAGCCTTATGAGTACCCCATGCAGTGTTTAAACAACATAAAATGGAGAGCAAAGGCAGCGGGGTGTCGTGGTGGCCACACTATCCCCTTGGGTGCCATGCTGACCTTCACAGATGCTCGCTCACAGCACTTTCCTCGACAAACTATGCAGGCTACTCTCAGGAGGTCTTTGTATTTTGTTTTCGCTTTTACGCACGAGCTGCCACCATTTCGGGTAGGAGTCGGGAGCTGGGCTATGTCCACCATGCAAAACACCGCAGTGGTGGAGAGCGGCGACCGTCATTACAAACGAGTTGAGCGGCGACTGTCATTACAGACGATTAGCGCAGCTCCGTGACGGACGTGGCAGTGCTACTGCAGGCACGGGATGTACGGTCCGGCGACGGCGCATGGCGCATGCCAACTGGGAACGTCACCGTATCAAAGTGCCCATGCAGGGCTAAAAGCTAGGCCCCCGTATCTGCTGTTGCAGCAGCTGCAACATTTAATGAAAGATAAGTATTGCGGGTTCTCTGCTTGCATACATCTGCATACGATCAGTCACTACACAATCTGGCAGCAATAACTGTTTTGTATCACCTGCAAACACGTGTCGTTTTTTTATGCACGTGTATCTAAAACTAGTTCAAAAAGCCCGTCTTCACCAGGCAAACGTTTTCTATACGTACAACTTATTACCTGTATGATTTTTTACAATTTTTATTTACGATTAACGATGACTCCAAAAATGTGTATTTATCCACAAAAATAATTGACGGCTTAATTCAACATTTTATATTTAAAGGCGTACCTATCAGAAACTGCTCAATTTAAAGATTCCGTTTTTTTTATTAGAAAGAACAAAAATCAACTAACTTAATACTATTCTTGGTTCTTTCGGTAAAGTCACATAGAAGGGAAACAATAAAATAATAAAAATATAAAACAATAAAATTATCACGACGTTTTGACTGCAACACAAAAAATCATCATCAGGTGTTGCAGTCGAAAAGTCGTGAGAATTTTATTGATTTATTATTTTGTTTCCCTTCTAGGTGACTTTACCGAAAGAACCAAGAATATGAATTCCCTGCAGTCACGAACGCTTTAAATCAAAATTTTACTTAATACTCTAAAAGGGTATGCTATCTTTTACCGTTTTCGAATAATTCTGATTTGAACATCATAAAATGCGTATTTTTTCGTTCAAAACTGCTCGAATCCGAAATATCTCAAGAACAATAAAATATAAAACAATGGCTCTTGCTTTAATTTGCTGTTTATCGCTCTATCAAAGGAAAAACTAAATCTTATATTTTGAACGGTTTCTGAATGACACGCACAAACATGTTCATCGGGCACTTAAAATTGAGATTTGGGGACCTAAACATTTAAAAAAAATCTCGGATTTTCAGATTGTTCCTGTTGTGTGTGTCCTAAAAGCTACCTCTGTACCAAATTTCTGCTTTATACCTTGTCAGGAAGTACCCTAGAGGTTTTTGAGACAGATTAAGGTTTTAATTTATATAGATCATTCTCCAGCAGATGGCAATCAAGTGCAGTCGTGTTTAAATAAACACAAGTGGTATGTATTAGCCGCATTGAATATTAGGCTGCGCAACTGTGTGAGTAAGTGAACACATTTGTAGTGGAGTCACATGCGATACACTATTACAAAATGGAATCCAATAATGTGCCGAGATATTTTTTAGTGCCAACACATCCCAGTTTGAATTTCATCGGCTGTACAAAAGTGGCTTTTACCATTTAAACGTGTTCACAGACATAAATAGGACCGCCGGCAGTTGATACTTCACGTATATATTATTTGGCGCGAAATCTTTCACAAAGACGATTTGAAACTATGTAAATATTCTTCTGTTTGCATTCTACTGTACACCCATCGCTGAAACTTCAATTAAAGCAATATGTAGCTTATTTTTTGTAATTCATCAGCGTGACTTGTGATCATAGTCCAAATGACAAACCTAAATGTTTCCTATAAATAGGAAAACAACTTGACTGTACAAATTTAACTATGGTTATAGCTCTTGCATTCAGCACACTCCTTGTTAAAGCACAATATAAATCACAGTTTGGATGATGCACATCCTGATTCAATATCAATCTTTCGGGAAAAAAAAAAGTTTTGCAATTTTGAGAAATAATTTTTAAAACAGAGCAAGAAGAACAAAAATATAGAGTGCAGAAGAAATATACACCTGCATAGACATTGTTTTCTGTGTCCGAAAAAACATTTAGATTAATCATTGCGACTTACTACAAATGCCTAGTACAACACCGGTGTGTCATTAGTGTAAAGATGAATCCCGCTAACAATTCATGTAATGAGCTCATACCATCTCCAATAGCGAACTATTGTTGGCAATCACGAGTGCATAAATGCTATTCAAAACGAGTGACACTAATCGATGGAGCCAGAGAGCCGACAGCCCTTCCCTTTCACAGCGCATTACAAAGGACGGTGCCGAGCACCTTTCTACTGTGCAACGTATCGCACAGCTCCAGTCCTGGTTACAAATCTGCCTTGACAAACAGACAAGCAGAATTTCCGGGTCATTCGCCAATATAATAATTTAAGGGGACAGTTACAACACTTAAAAAACACTAAACAAAACACAGGAACGCGGCAAAGAACGCGCACACATGTGGTATACGCACACGTGTACGTACGAGGAACGAAACAGTTTCAGAGGAAGGCCATTGCAAATATGTACTAATAGCATCAATATGAATATCCTCACACAATCAACGTGAAGGGTACAATTTAACACGGAGAGACTTGCATCATAATTACAATGTGGTGAAAGCATTTAAGGTTCACCTTTCCAGGGTCATCTCTTGAGCGAGGCACTTTGATGAAGCACTTGTTCAGAGATAGGTTATGACGGATTGAGTTCTAGAACGCAGCACACACATACAACAACGGCACAATTGTGACTTCACATGCACACCAACGGCTGCCCACTCTGCTTTTATCAATCTCAGTGGTTTACAGAAATGTAACGGCTCGTTGAATAACTGCTTTTTTATTTTACAACTATGGAGGGTAATATTTTTATTTTACTCAAGATCAGCTCTGCCTTACAAATGTATAAAGTTTCAAAGCTTTAATTCAAATGATTGACTTCACATTAACTTCCATGTATTCGGGTGGTAGTGGATAGATAAAACTATATATTTAATTTTGACCCCTCCCTCATTATCAGATGCAAACGTGTTAGGTGTAGCTACCGTATTTACCCGCATATAACCCGCGGGGTATACCACTTTTTAAAAGCAAAACAAGACCCTGCGGGGTATATGGAGGTGCGGGCTATCCCAAAAATATTTTACACGTGTGATATGGTAGGACTATCCACTGTGCAACACTTACCTTTGACTAAAGCACTTCTGAATAAACCACTAACACTAAAATTGCACGTTATCACGTTTTAAATTATTCGAATTGTTTGTGCAATGTTTACATTGCGCAATAGGAAGGGCCTTAACAAGCGTCTAGCAGACGCGGAATCATAATTGCCGAGTCCCTTAGGCCGCTGCCATTGGCTGAGCACTATACAGTCGCGACCATGAGCTTTGTTTCAAACTTCCAATGGCTTTGTTGCCAGGAGGCAATGGTGTAACCGTAGTGCCGCTATTGTCTGCGCAGCGCGCAATATACCAGTGCAGGGGTAACTACTGGTCCAGTAGCTGTAATATGATGAGGTCGAATGCTGGTAAGCCTAACAGTATGCTTACTTACTTATCTACCAGTTATGTGTTACTTATTTATTGGATATCTATTTTTGTTACTTATTTACTGTTTTAAGTTCACTCGTTTCTGGTTAGTTTGTTTTCTTTGTGCACGTTATGATCTTAATGTTAACACTTGATAGTGGAATGTATTACAAATGTAAACTTTGTATTAATATGATGGAATTAAGCTGCGGTAACGACGTTAAAGATATGAATGCATGCGGGGTATATGACGATGCGGACTATCTGAAATTTGTTTTACACAAAACGCTATTCTTGCGGGGTATATGCATCTGCGGGTTATATGCGTATGCGGGCTATATGCGGGAAAATACAGTACTTGCAGGATGCGCTCTGTTCCACGGTTATAAGAACAGGGTCTGCATCCGCTCTGCATGCAATACGGCTTCACTCCATGGGAAATGAGAAATAATAAAGTGGATAACGAGCCTCATCAATGTACTCTGGTACGTGCAAGATTTGAGATTTTGGCATAGCAGAATAGTGGTTGCCCTTGATCCCGGATAGCTCAGGAGTATGGATTTTCACTTTCATAGTAACAGTGCAACCTTTAAAAATACATCACAAAAAATGTATTCGCTCTATAAAGAATACCAATGAGGTTATACTGCCCATTCGGGAAAAGTTAAATAAACCACTCATCTCAACAGTAAAATCAGTATTCCTTTACAATACTGGGTGGCATCTACAGGAATTATCAGTAATTTTTGCAAGAATAAATCATTACTCAACAATGATTGTGGGGCACTTGGCTCGCTCATTGGTATTTGTATTGACAAATGTGCCACCCCTCCCAAACAATCTAGTGTCATTCAGTTTATTCGAATGTATGTTGAACTTCTTTCGCACCGCACATAGCCAACTGTGCTAATCGGAGGTGCGGGAAACTAGTTCAGATATTTTGCCATGTTACAGGCTTCTAATGAAAGCTTGCACAAGGGCCGAGGGATTTTAGGCAAAACATGTTATGCAAGTTCATCCAGAACACGCGTACTTTCCCCACCGGTGAGACATGCACCATTGATATTATTACACATAACTAAAATAACCCACACAAGTCAACATGATATGGAGGGGATTGAGGGCCACGGCGAATGGCCTTTGTTAGCTATGGCTGGTTGTACCGACTGTATAAAGTCCGAGGGCCATCTTTCAAGTAAGGGACACCATGAGCTACCAGTGCTCCTGGACCTCATTGACATGCCAGTTCTGCATACTATGGCCAGATTCTCCATTACTCTACTAAAAACGCACACACGCGCGCACAATTAAAACACGCATGTCACCCTCACGCGACTCAAAACACACACACACCTTCCAGCCGATGCCAGCCTCCTTGTAGTAGGGGAAGTTGTCGCAGATCCACTGGTAGATCTCGCTGAGCGTCATCCGCTTGCGAGCGGAGCTGTTGATGGCAAAGGTGATGAGGTTGGCGTAACTGTAGGGCGGCTTGCCGTCCTTGCTGCCGGTGCTGCAAGCCTGCGGGCTCTCGTCGGGCTCGGACGAGGAGCGAGCCGCGCCTGCCGGGGAGCCGGGCGTTCTCCGAAGCGTACCCGAGCTCGAATCCGAGCCAGAGCCGGCGCCGGAGGCCGAAGCGGAATGCTTGGACGCGGCGGCGGCTGCAGCAGCTGTAGTGGAGCGAGAAGAGACAGCGGTGTCACAGGCACACATACGCGGAATCTACGCTCCCAAGAGGATACTGGAGACGTATTATTTGGCTGTCAAACAATAAGCTAATGCTGTCAGGGTAAAGGAATTGTCCCAGCCTCAGTGTCTACTGCAACATGTATGCGTGCAAACAAACGTGCTACATTCAGCATGTGAAAGTCACGCCTTTTTTTATTTGTAAATTCACTTGCACGCAATCCAATACTTAAATGACAAATTGATTATTTATTTTACACATGCTTACGAATGAGCAGTCTGTTAGTCCACTGTATAAAATTACAGCAACAGACATTCTGGAATCCAAGGCATAGCCCAGAACCCATATTTCAGATTTTTTTTTACATTCCAAACTGATGTCTACTGCACTGAATTTGTTTTACACCTCCCACAGCACAGCAAGTACAAGGCTACTTGAAAATTAAATTAGCTGAAGGTGTGAGAAAGCCATGCTGTAGGCTAAATAAGCTAGTTTGTAATTTTAACTGTATGACATGCGTTAATCAGAATCGGAAGTTTACATCCTGAATAATACAATACGTTGCATAGCCATTAGTTGTGCATAAATATAATCGCAAAATTAATTTGTAAATAAAATTGAATTGTATACTGGCCTGATGATTTATGTATGGAACAAAACATATTAAGGTTAGCAAAGCTTGCAAGGTGAATTTCATTTAGTGCTGGGGTGCTCAAGGGGGCACCAGTGGACACAGTGGCCAAGGTGATCTAAAGAAGAATGTTGAATTAAGGTGTTGAGAGCTAAACTGGGCTAATTGTGGTGCATGTGGCGATACGCAAAATACCGCCGCCCACCACTTCCTGCTGCTTGGGTGGCAAATTATGATACAACCATCGTCATAGTAGAAGAGGACTCCTTTAAAATATATAAACTGGAACGCCAGCCAATTAACAGATACTCCCATATATTAGGGGATTCGTCGGCTGTATCCTTATAATGGAGGAACTCCAGATTTAAGGATAACAAGACTTTCCCAATTATATATATATCAATGAATTGATGTGTACCAAGAAATGCAAGAGCAAAAACGCATACACACGGATGCACAGGGACTCGCACACAGAAAATTCATTTTCATAGAAAAGTGGTGCAAGTTACCAATGTATGCTTTCTGTAACTGTAAAGCTCAAATACAAAGGTGAAAGTATATACGTGCACTTGCACGTGAAAGTGGTTTTGCTTTTATTCGTGAGAATGTGAACCTCAGGAAGGACAGACAGAATAATTCCAGGGCAAAGAAATAAGCAGCTTATCATCTCACTTCAAACAAGACTGTTCACTTTGGGGGTCTACAGCATAGCATCCACAGACCCCTAAAAGGGTTCATTGTAACCCGAAGGTTGATCTCTGATTTGAAAAAAACTGATTAACAGATGTTCAAACTATGCAAAATACCAAATGACACGATGACAATTAAAGTCCATATCCAGTGTACAGTGAGGGAAAAAGTATTTGATCCCCTGCTGATTTTTGGACGTTTGCCCACTGACTAAGAAATGATCAGTCTATAATTTTAATGGTAGGTTTATTTTTGAACAGTGAGAGACAGAATAACAACAAAATTCAGAAAAACGCATATCAAAAATGTTATAAATTGATTTGCATTTTAATGAGGGAAATAAGTATTTGACCCGCTCTCAATCAGAAAGATTTCTGGCTCCCAGGTGTCTTTTATACAGGTAACGAGCTGAGATTAGGAGCACACTCTTAAAGGGAGTGCTCCTAATCTCAGCTTGTTACCTGTATAAAAGACACCTATCCACAGAAGCAATCAATCAATCAGATTCCAAACTCTCCACCATGGCCAAGACCAAAAAGCTCTCCAAGGATGTCAGGGACAAGATTGTAGACCTACACAAGGCTGGAATTGGCTACAAGGCCATTGCTAAGCAGCTTGGTGAGAAGGTGACAACAGTTGGTGCGATTATTCGCAAATGGTAGAACTACGCATGTTACAAATGTTATAAATTGATTTGCATTTTAATGAGGGAAATAAGTATTTGACCCCTCTGCAAAACATGACTTAGTAATTGGTGGCAAAACCCTTGTTGGCAATCACAGAGGTCAGACGTTTCTTGTAGTTGGCCACCAGGTTTGCACACATCTCAGGAGGGATTGTCCCACTCCTCTTTGCAGATCTTCTCCAAGTCATTAAGGTTTCGAGGCTGACGTTTGGCAACTCGAACCTTCAGCTCTCTCCACAGATTTTCTATGATATTAAAGTCTGGAGACTGGCTAGGCCACTCCAGGACCTTAATGTGCTTCTTCTTGAGCCACTCCTTTGTTGCCTTGGCCGTGTGTTTTGGGTCATTGTCATGCTGGAATACCAATCCACGACCCATTTTCAATGCCCTGGCTGAGGGAAGGAGGTTCTCACCCAAGATTTGATGGAACATGGCCCCGTCCATCATCCCTTTGATGCGGTGAAGTTGTCCCGTCCCCTTAGCAGAAAAACACCCCCAAAGCATGTTTCCACCTCCATGTTTGACGGTGGGGATGGTGTTCTTGGGGTCATAGGCAGCATTCCTCCTCCAAACACGGCGAGTTCAGTTGATGCCAAAGAGCTCCATTTTAGTCTCATCTGACCACAACACTTTCACCCAGTTGTCCTCTGAATCATTCAGATGTTCATTGGCAAACTTCAGACGGGCATGTATATGTGCTTCCTTGAGCAGGGGGACCTTGCGGGCGCTGCAGGATTGCAGTTCTTCACGGTGTAGTGTTACCAATTGTTTTCTTGGTGACTATGGTCCCAGCTGCCTTGAGATCATTGACAAGATCCTCCCGTGTAGTTCTGGGCCGATTCCTCACCGTTCTCATGATCATTGCAACGCCACGAGGTGAGATCTTGCATGGAGCCCCAGGCCGAGGGAGATTGACAGTTCTTTTGTGTTTCTTCCATTTGCGAATAATCGCATCAACTGTTGTCACCTTCTCACCAAGCTGCTTGGCAATGGTCTTGTAGCCAATTCCAGCCTTGTGTAGGTCTACAATCTTGTCCCTGACATCCTTGGAGAGCTCTTTGGTCTTGGCTATGGTGGAGAGTTTGGAATCTGAATGATTGATTGCTTCTGTGGACAGTTGTCTTTTATATAGGTAATAAGCTGAGATTAGGAGCACTCCCTTTAAGACTGTGCTCCTAATCTCAGCTCGTTACCTGTATAAAAGACACCTGGGAGCCAGAAATCTCTGATTGAGGAGGGGTCAAATACTTAGTTCCCTCATTAAAATTCAAATCAATTTATAACATTTTTGACATGCGTTTTTCTGGATTGTTTTGTTGTTATTCTGTCCCTCACTGTTCAAATAAACCTACCATTAAAATTATAGACTGATCATTTCTTTGTCAGTGGGCAAACGTACAAAATCAGCAGGGGATCAAATACTTTTTTCCCTCACTGTACACAAATCACCACACGCTATTGAGCCTTGTACTGTAATGTGAACATTCGAATGTTGCTACTGTACATGCATAACCTGCAAATACATTGCAAATATGTATAATTGGTACTACACGAGTTATCCTGGTGATAATAAAAACAAATGATGCATGTCAACGGCCTCTCACAGGCCTGATTCATCATCATTAGGCATTGTCTAGCCACTGTAGGACAAAGGCGCCCCCCCCCCATGCCGTCGCCATCCCTCAGTCCTACAATGCCATAGCCCATCTCACTCCCGTGCATTAAGCGATCTAATTGCTCTATTTCTGCACAATCCACCCCCTCGCGGCTGTTCTCTTTTGGCTGCTATTCCAACAACGCTCATCCATTCGTCATCATTCCTTCTATAGTCTTGCCCAAGCCCACTTTACTTTTCTTCATAGTTAATGTGTAATGGTCATTCATAACAGACACGGCAGACATCAGCCAGCTGTGAAGGCACTTGGCCTTCTTCTTGGACTGAGTTACCACCACTTCTGCATCCTGTGCCACTGATGCAAGTCATTTCTACCCCAGCCAAACAACAGCTGTTTTGGGCATTCAGTTGCTGAGCAAGCAGGCTGCATGATCTTGCCATCTCAAGCTTCGTATCCGCCTAAGATAACTTGTGTCAATTTGTCCATATCTATCCGAGATGTGGGCTGCTTATGTACTTCATGCTTATTAAACCAAAGACAAGCGAAAGAGCAGTGGCTAGTCTAAACGTCTATAACTGGCTTGTGTGGTTTTGCAACACAGCCTGCGTCTTCGCAATAACATTAAACATTTTACTTGAATAACTGTCCAATTTGGAGACAGCCAAGCCCAGAATGCACCATTTCGCACATTGATGAGATATGGGATTTCCTTCACCTCTCGCAATAACCACCCAAACCATTCGTGAAGGGGTGGTGTGAGATAAGTCTTTCATTGCATCTTGACATGTGCCATGCATTTTTTTATTGAGTTGGCAGCAAAGACTTGTCCATGGCCAACCAATGTAACAAGAAAAGCATGGGATGTGTTAAGACTGCCCAGAGAGATCAGGGGAAACTGTTCAAGAGGAGCGGACCACTACCACAATTTAAATCAAAACAAATACAATGATTACCTAGAAATACTGTTGATCATCGATTATCCGGGCGCACCATTATCTGGCTTCCAACATTACCTGGCGGTCCCTGACCGATCTGGCGAAACTGGCATAACCGGTCCAAATCTGTACCAGTCCGGCGATCGTCAAACTCATGTAGTTGAAACAAGAGCGTAATACATACATCACCCCATGGAGAGTCTTCGAGATTGGAGTGATAAGTATGGTACAGTAACTTTTTACAGTATATTTGTCTACTTGTATGTTTATTTATGCAAATTTCAAAGAGTACACTCATTTAAAAACACAAAAAACAAACAAACACTTCAAACATGTTATGCAAGAATGTGCAAAAATAAGCTATTTTTAAAAATGTGATTCTCCTGCGTTTTTGAAAATCCAGCACCCACTTCCCCCCCCCCCCCA